TGAAATGGTTTCTCATAATCAACTCTCTCTCTCTTTGATCTTTGTGCTAGACCTTGTCCTAAACACTCTTGTCTTCTGTGTAAAAACCTGTTAGTATCTGCCTCAGCAGTTTCTGATAAAATTTATTTGGTCCGGGTGGGGCTCACGCTTATGATCCCAGCCACTTGTGGGAGGTCCAGGGCCAGGGTGGATCACTTTAGCCCAGGAGTCGAGGACCGCCTGGGGCAAACATGGAGAAACCCTGCTCTACAAAAATACTAAAATATTAGGCAGGCTTGGTGAGCTCAGCCTGTAGCTTCTAGCAACACTGGGGAGGCTGCGTGAGGAGTGCTTGAGCCCAGGAGGTTAAGTGCTGCAGTAATCTGTCGATTGTGTCATGCACCACCTGTGCACAGAGTCGAGACCCATCTCAAAAAAAATTTTTTTGTTTTAATTGAGAACGATACCCTGTGTCCTTACTAGGAACAATTTTTCTTCAATATAAGAGAAAATCAAGAAGCTACAGTTAAACCATTTATATCCATTTTCATTATGCAGTAAGAACTTTTTGAAGGTTACAGATCCTTGAAAGAAAGATGTTGTTCGTTGCACACCTTGGGATTGTTTATGATTCATGGGTTAAACCTAAAAGAAAATCAATTTCATGTAATATAATATCAGCATTATAAGGTCGCATGACAAGGACACCATGTGTGACGCAACATTCAAGTGGAGCGTGGCAGAACTACTAAGTCATTTAGCAGGGTAAGGGATAGACAAGAAACTGGCAACATTTGCCTTTGGTGGTAAAGCTGAACAACAATGATAAAAAGGAGATTTTTAAAAAAATAAACATTTTTTTTTTTTCATTACACAAATTTTCATGTCATCTTTGTGCAGGGACCATGCTAATCTTTATATTGTTCCAGTCTTAGTATATGTGCTCCTAAAGTGAGCCCAAGATTTATTTTTCATTATACCTTTTATGCTATTGAATTTTATATTATATTTAAATTATTTTATGCATAAATAATTAATGGAGTTGTGGGGTTTGTGATTATGCTGGAGTCTAGACAGCCTAAAGGGTACAGAGAGACTTTGTGGAGGAGACAGCAGCAGCATGACAGCTGGGTACAGGGCTCCTAACCCTCCCCTGCCCCATGTTTCTGTTGCTCAGTCTCACCAGGATCCTTTAATTCTGTGTTCATTGTAAGTTTGCCATTCACCTACCAGCTCTGTGGACTGTTCAGCCTTTCTTCCTTTTGCCTCCTCTGCCAGCCTGAGGACTGGGGGTTGCTTGGGCAATTTTACCCTTCCAAACAGCCCTCCAGGCCACTAGTCGGGTCAATGGAGAACATGAAGCTGGAGTTTGCCTTCCTCCTGTAGTTCAAAGAAGAAGCTAAGAATCTAATCTATGAAACAAGTGATGCAGGAAATTTTGCCTGTTTTTAGTTCTGTGTTCTCCTAGTATGAAAGTTGAGCCACCTGTACTACAGAATAAGCCATATAACATGAGTAATACAAAATACTGGGCCAAACTTTATTATCAAACTTTCAACAAATTTATTTAGATGTTTATTTTTGGATATTACAAATAATTCAGATATAATACTTTTTAACCCTGGGACTAAATTTATTGATGGGAACTTACAAACTGGATGAAAAGTCACTTTCCATGAAACGTTGGGATCCTCAACAGAGGTACATTTGGTTATGTTAAAGGAAGATGTATTAACCTTAATGCCGGATTTGTCCGTCAACTTCAGGAATATGAAGTCTTCTACAAAATTAACAATTAAGATGATGTCACCACTGCACTGCTCAGTCTTGCAACAGAGGTTTGAAGAGAACACATGAAGAAGAATTTAGGTATATGCAAGCAGTGGCTGTGCAGAATGGCTGACTCAAGAGGCAACATCAAAAAGCTGTGCTATTCAGTAGGGTAATGGCTAGCCACCAGCACTGTTTAAATTAATTCAAATTCAAATTTAAAATTCAGTTGCTCAGTGACACTAGCCACATTTTAAGTATTCATTAGCCACATGTAGCTAGTGGTTACCATATTAGACAGGGCAAATATAGAACATTTCTATTATTACAGAAATTTCTGTTAGACAGTGCTGTTATAGAGGATATAAAGTTCTGTTTGGAAAAGAGAAAATACTTGTGACAATAAAAATGTAAAATGGCAAAAACACAAGTAGTTTCTTTTCATTTACATGTTGCTTCTAGATATGCTTCTTTGCAAATTATTGAGCAACGTTTTAAGATACTGGACTTTTGTAATAGGTGACAATGATGGTTTTATACTTTTCTTAGAAATGCTTTACAGTTTTGTCATAAGTCAAGCATTTGGGACTCAGAAAATTATTGAAATTTGCACTTTTCATATTTTATATGGTATAAAGTTATTACTTTAAACAAAATGAAAATTAGGAGGAGCATTTATAAAGTTATTGGGGGTAATTTATAACAAAACAGTTTATCAGTGTCCTAAAATTTATTTGTGCTCTCTATTAAAGTTTTATAATTTTACAGTTCTTTTATGATGGAGCCTTTTTTTTTTTTTTTAATTATACTTTAAGTTCTAGGGTACATGTGGATAACGTGCAGGTTTGTTACATATGTATACCTGTGCCATGTTGGCGTGTGCACCCATCAACTCGTCAGCACCCATTATGATGGAGCCTTTTATAGAAACATCACCTAACTGCAGGACTCTGTCCCTTTTAAAAAATATAATTCAGCACCTTAATTATTTTTATACTTCAAAACACTCGTCTTAGTATTTTTTCAGGTTTTAAAATGTAACATTAGCTAGCTTCTTTAACTTTATCATGCTATGCAATTATTGCTTCCTTTCCTCTTAAGATCCTAATTGTCTTTTTTTATTTGAGACGGAGTATTGCTCTCTTACCCAAGCTGGAGTACAGTGGCGCAGTCTTGGCTCACTGCAACCGCCACCTCCAGTGTTCAAGCGATTCTTCTGCCTCAGCCTCCTGAGTAGTTGGGACTACAGGCGGGCACCACCACGCCCGGCTAATTTTTTGTATTTTTAGTAGAGATGGAGTTTCACCATGTTAGCCAGGATGGTCTCGATCTACTGACCTCATGATCCACCCGCCTCGGCCTCCCAAAGTGCTGGTATTACAGGAGTGAGCCACTGCACCCAGCCCCTAATTTTCTTATTCAGTAAAGAACAGTTAGGGCTTTTTTAAATTTTAATTTATTTTATTTTATTTTATGAAATAGAGTCTCAGTGTGTCACCCAGGCTGGAATGCAGTGGCGCAATCACAGCTCACTGCCACCTCAACTTCCTGGCTCAAGTGATTCTCCCTCTTTTGCCTTCTGAGTAGCTGCAACTACAGGCACACGCCAGTATGCAGCTAATTTTTTAAAATTTTTGATGTAGAAACAGGGTCTCACTTTGTTGCCCAGGCTGGTCTCAAACTCCTGGGCTCAAGCCTTGACTTCCCAAAGAGTTGGGATTGTAAGTGTGAGCCACTGTGCTTAACAAAAAGAACAAAAAACAGTTTAACAAGTAATTTAACAGAGAAAGATGTTTTCTTTTACTGATAGTACCAGATGGTCCAAAAAACATTTTTGTTTAAAGTTTTAGGTAACTTTCATTTTGGCAAAGCGAAAAAAGTTACATGTGTTATTTTGGGAAAGGAAGAAATAAGATTGTCACTGTTTGCTGACAACATGATCTTATATATAGAAAACCCTACAGATGCCACCAAAAAACTGTTCAAACTATTAAATGAATACAGTGTATATATGTGTGTATATATATATAGTATATGTATATATGTGTGTATGTGTGTGTATATATATGTGTGTATATATATAACCCTACAGACTCCACCAAAAAACTGTTAGAACTATTAAATGAATACAGTATGGTTGTAGGATACAAAACAACACACAGAAATTAGTAGTATTTCTATGCACTGTTAACCATGAACTGTGCAAAAAAGAAATCAAGAGAACAATCCCATTTACAATAGCTACAAAAAAAAAATCAAATTTAACCAAGGAATTAAAAGACTTATATACTGAAAAACATACATTGTTGAAAGAAATTGAAGATACAATTAAATGGAAAACTATTCTGTGTTCATGGATTGGAAGAATTAATATTGTTTAAATGGCCATACTACTCAAAGCAATCTGCAGATTCAGTGCAATCCCTATCAAAATTTCAATGTTATTTTTCATAGAAAAAAATGGTAAAATTCATATGAAACCACATAAATCCCTGAATAGCCAAGGCAATTATGAGCAGAAAGAACAAAAAAGAAGCTACCACACTAGCTGATTTCAAACTATACTACCAAGCTATAGTAATTAAAACGGCATGGTATTAGAAATAGACATCAGTCAATGAAACAATAGGAAACCTAGAAATGAACCTGTTATGCCTGTCATGGGGGGGGAGGGGGGAGGGATAGCATTAGGAGATATACCCAATGTAAGTGACCAGTTAACAAGTGCAGCACACCAACATCGCACATGTATACATACATAACCTGCATGTTGTGCACATGTACCCTAGAACTTAAAGTATAATTTAAAAAAAAAAAAGAACCTGTTATATAGCTAGTTAACTGATTTTTGACAAAGGTACCAAGACTACACAAAGGGAAAGGACAGTCTCTTCACTAAATGGTATTGGGAAAATTGTATTTCCATAGAATGAAATTAGGTCCTTATACCATATACAAAAATCAACTAAAAATGGAATAAAGACTTTAAGACTAGAAACTCTAAAACTGCTAGAAGAAAATGGGAAAAACTACACAACAGTGGTCTTGGCACTGATTTTTTTGGATTTGCATGCAAAGTCACAGACAACAAAAGCAAAAGTAGGCAAATGTGAGTACATCAAACTAAAGAGCAAAGGAAACAATTAACAGTGTACAGAGACAACCTACAGATTGGAAGAAAATATTTGCATCCATTCTATAAGGGGTTGATATTCAAAATATATAAGGAGCTCAACTCAATACCAAGAAAACAAAACTGTTAAAACATAGGCAAGACATTATCCTAGGCAAACTGATGCAGAAACAAAACCAAATACCACATGTTCTCACTTATAAGTGGGAGCTAAATATTGGGTACAAATGGACATAAAGATGGGAGTGGTAGACCCTGGGGACTACAAGACGAGAGAGTGGGAGGAGACCAAGGGTTAAAAAAATACATACTGGTGGCTGGGTGCTGTGGCTCATGCCTTTAGTCCCAGCACTTTGGGAGGTTGAGGCGGGCAGATCATGAGGTCAGGAGATGGAGACCATTATGGCCAACATGGTGAAACACCATCTCTACTAAAAATACAAAAAAAATTGGCTGGGCATGGTGGTGCACACCTGTAGTCCCAGCTACTCGGGAGGCTGAGGCAGGAGAATGGCTTGAACCAGGGAGGCGGAAGTTGCCACGAGCCGAGATTGTGCCACTGTACTCCAACCTGATGACAGAGACTCCGTCTCAAAACAAAACACACACACACACAAAAAAACCCCTACGTATTGGGTGCTGTGGCTCATGTCTGTAATCCCAGCACTTTGGGAGGCCAAGATGGGCAGATCACTTGAAGTTAGGAGTTCGAGACCAGCCTGGCCAACATGGTGAAACCCTGTCTGTACTAAAAATTAAAAAGCCGGGGTGTGGTGGCGTGCACCTATAGTCCCAGCTATTCCAGAGCCTGAGGCAGGGGAATCACTCGAACTCGGCAGGTGGAGGTTGCAGTGAGCCGAGATGGCGCCCCAGCACTCCAGCCTGGGCTGGTCAGGAGATCAAGACCATCCTGGCTAACACGGTGAAACCCCGTCTCTACTGAAAACACAAAAAATTAGCCAGGCATGGTGGTGGGCACCTGTAGTCCCAGCACATATTGAAATATCACGGTACAAGATGCCGCTAACCCTGACATAATGTTTAAAATTATTTTGTGAGGATTGGTGGTTGTATTAAACTGTATATAAGATTAAAAATAAATTGCCAGGGCATATTACTAAGTGCTAGTGAACACAGCCCATTGAGTCATGGGACCTGTATAGAATTGATGCTTTGCCAGAGTTATAAGTTCTTATATAATCTGGTTCTCTGTCAGGTGATCTCATTTCTTCCTACTCTTCTGATTCACATGGACCTTACTGTTTTTGGAACGCATTAAGCACCTTCCCCTCTCAGGGCTTGGCATTTGTTGTTCCTCTATTTGGAATATTCTTTTATATGTTTCTAGGACTGACTTCTTCCCTTGGCTTTAGGTTTCTGTGGAAATACCACCTTTTTAAGAGAAATCTTACCTGTTCCTGCTGCTCTCCTTCCATAACTTTCCATTCTCTTACCCTTTAATTTTCTGCATTCTACCTGACTAATTTTTTGTTTAATTCCTTTCACTGCAATATAATCTCCATAAATACAGGAACTTTATTTTATTCGATACATTCATTATCTTTAGTGACTGGAGCATAGTAGGTGTGCATGACAATGAATGAATGTTATGAAGTATATGGTTTTCCCTAAATGTAGTATTGGGGCTTAAAGGAAAAATAAATAAATAAATGTTGGAGATGAAAATTGTCTCTGGAAAGTAACTGCACTTAAATAAAATAGGAAACTGTTGGCAAGATATTCCACTCTAACTGTTTTGGACTATTCTGGTTACTTCCTTGTGATTTTTCTAACAGGTTTCAGGAATCAAGGGATTTGTTGGAATCCTAATTTAGAGGCCCTTTATTTCTGGGACTCTTTTTTGACTCAGAAGTGATTACCTGCTGCCTTTCTGGTTTTATAGCCTATAGCTTCTCTGCACTATTATTTAAATATATGTTCCATAATTTTTCAAAGTATATTATCTGGTATTTACTCAACCTCTCTTTTACACATTTGATAATTATATATATATTTCTTTTTCTTTTTCTTTTTCTTTTTTTTTTTTTTGAGATGAAGTCTTGCTCTGCCCCCGGGCTGGAGTGTAGTGGCACGATCTTCGCTCATTGCAACCTTCGCCTTCCAGGTTCAAGTGATTATCCTGCCTCAGCCTCCCCAGTAGCTGGGACCACAGGCATGTGCCACTACAGCCAGTTTTTTTTAGTTTTTCTTTTGTAGAGTTGGAGTCTCACTATGTTGACTGGGCTGGTTTTGAACTTCTAGCCTCAAATGATCCTCCCCGCTTGTCCTCCCAAAATGCTGGAATTACAGGCATGAGCCACTGTGTCAGGCCCGTAATTCTTAATTATCTTAAGGATTCTGCCTGAGCTTTGGCAGAGTAGGATTCTATTTACATGCTGGTTTGAGAAGTACTTGCCTTATTGCATGTGTTTAAACTGTTTTTTTGTTTGTTTGTTTGTTTTTATAGACAGTTCAAGAAGAAGAAAGAGAGATTTACAGACAGCTGCTACAGATGGTCACAGGGAAACAGTTTTCTATAGCCAAACCTACCACACATTTTCCTTTACACCTGTGAGTCACAGAAGCATATTTCAGATGAATTTAATTCTACAATTTATTATTTGATATTGAAACAATATTCTTCTCTTGCTAGGTCTCGATGTCTTAGTTCCAGTAAAAATACTTTGAAAGACTCACTATTTAAAAATGGAAACTCTTGTGCATCTCAGATCATTGGCTCTGATACTTCATCATCTGGATCTGCCAGCATTTTAACTAACCAGGAACAGCTGTCCCACAGTGTATATTCCCTCTCTTCTTATACCCCAGATGTTGTTGCATTTGGATCCAAAGATTCTGATACTCTTCATCAACCCCATCATCACCACTCTGTTCCACATCAGCCGGATAACTTAGCAGCTTCAAATACACAATCTGAAGGTAAACATGGTATCATATAACTACATTTTTAGTCCTAATAGCCAATTAAGTGTTTATTAGCTCTATTACAGGCAACATTGTAATATACATATAAATAAACATACACAGCTTGAGCATACCGAATCTGGAAATATGAAATCCAAAATGTTCCAAAATCTGAAACTTTATGAATACCAACATAATACTCTAAGGAAATGCTCAGTGGAGCATTTGGGGTTTTGGATATTTGGATTTGGGATGCTCAAATTGTATAATGCAAATATTCAAAAGTCAAAAAAATCCAAAATTTGAAACTTCTGGTCCCAACCATTTTGGATAAGGGATATGGAACTTGTAAGACATGTACTTCATACTTTAAATACATATGATTCAGTTAACCATGCTATGAGTAAATTAAACCCACAAATAGGATATTCTTTTTTTCTTACCTCAAGATGCAAATGACTTGATACTTTTTATTTAAACAATTAACTTCCTAAGTAGAGGCTAGAGTCAGAGTATATATACTCAGCCCAATTGCTTCAGCACTTTCTCTGTTTCTATGACTTTACAGTGGTAAGTAAGAATTCTGAAGTTGTAGGAGTTTTGAAACATCAGATAAATATTGAAGCTTAAGTACTTAGGTTTGTGCGTTTTAGAATGATTGTCAGCATTGGAAACAAAAAGCTTTCTACCTGATTTTCAACTAACTGAAATATTCATTCTCTTTGCATTCCAGTTAATTAAGGTTTTGTTGTGATAGATTTCTTTGTTTCCTTAATTTTCCCCTTCTTTAGGTATGTATTATGTATCAATTTATGGTATGTACTTAGGTATGTAACTTAAAACAAGTTTTAGGTTAAATGGTTAAACATCAGGGATTTTTTGATAGATGGAGCACTAGTCGTTCCCCTCCTTTCTCAGGTTGTTTGAGTTTTGTTTTTTTTATCTACTTGTCACTTTATGAGAATTCTCACTCAGGATTAAACTTTTTGGCAGCATCATTATATAGCTACACATATCCATGAAGACTCTTGTTATATTTTGTGAGGTGATATACTGAGAACTGTAAAGGAAAAAAAAAAAGCCAAAAAAACCAAACTCCTTTAACCTCAGAAACATACATTGTGTTGCAGATATTATACAACTAAATTGAAACAAATATACTACATTGCACTGTTTAATTACTTTCCTTGTACCATTTAATAAATACTCTGAGGATGTAATCATAGCACTTTAGAAGAACGTGATTCCTGCCTTTGAGTAGTATTCAACAGAGAATATACATAATAGAATGATAAAATTTGTACTTTTTAGATACCTCCTGGGGTGATATTTCCTTCCCTGTCCCCCTTCCCTCCTTCTTCCAGTTTCCTTCCCTCTTCCTTTCCTCCACCCCTTTCCTCCTTTCACCTAATTCAGTCTCATTGTAGATCATGAACTACAGTAGCTCCCCCTTATCTGTGGGGGGAGGATATGTTCCAAGACCCACCCCCAGCCAGTGGGTGCTTGAAACCATGGAGAGTATACTATATATACTATACCCTATACACATAATATACATACATACTTTTGATTATAAATTAGGGGCAGTAAGAGATCAACAATAACTAATAATAGAAAAATTATAACAATACACTATAATGAAAATGTTACTTTTTTCTTATTAAATCAAGAACTTTCCCACTTTCACTTAAAGGAAGTAGGTTTTTTTTTTTTTTTTTTTTTTGAGACTGAGTGTCACTCTGTCGCTCAGGCTGGAGTACAGTGGGACCACCTTGGTCACTGCAACCTCCATCTCCTGGGTTCAAGTGCTACTCCTGCCTCAACCTCTTGAGTAGCTGGGATTCAGGTGTGAGCCATCATGCCCAGCTAATTTTTGTATTCTTAGCAGAGACGGGGTTTCACCATGTTGGCCAGGCTGGGGAAGCACTTTTACACCTTCCTCTTTGCCATACCTGAATTGCCAGCATCATTACTTTTGCCTTTTGGGGACGTTATTAAGTAAGGTTACTGAACACAAGCACTGCTATACTGAGACTGATGACTGAGGTGACAACTAAATGACAGGTGGTGCAATACAATGTGGATATGCTGGACAGGGATGATTTCATGCCTGAAATAGAGCTGGATAGAGATTTATCACATTACTTGGAATGGCATGCAATTTAAAAATTACTAATTATTCTGGAATTTTCCATTTAATATATTTGTACCATGATTAACTACGAGTAACTGAAACCATAGAAACCAAAATTGCAGATGGAGGACTACCATGAAGACTTTTAAGGAATCCTGCCATTTTCTTGTTCTCCTGAAACAGACAGGAAGCACAGGGAGCAATCGCAGCCTAGGAGTAGATGCTGAAGGGCAATATGCTTGTATTTCCAGGGACTTTCTTATTTGTGAAGCAAGTTCTTCACAAAGACCTATTTCTGTTCTCAGTGACAATGGACTTACCTCTCTTTCTCTCCCATCTGACCTTTGTTCTTATGTTATTTTTGTGGAAATAAATACAGCAAAGTATGGAAACTTAAACTAAGATATCTAGAAAGTATAACTTTGTGGAGTTTTATTACTATGAAATGCTCTTGTTTTCTTTATTTAGGATCAGACTCTGTGATTTTACTGAAAGTGAAAGATTCCCAGACTCCAACTCCCAGGTAAACTTTGGAAAAAGCTTTGTCTTTTATTATTAATTAATTAATTTTTTGAGACGGAGCCTCGCTCTGTCACCCAGGCTGGAGTATAGTGGCGCAATCTTGGTTCACTGCAACCTCCACCTCCCTGTTCAAGCGATTCTTCTGCCTCAGCCTCCCAAGTAGCTGGGATTACAGGCGCACGCCACCATGCCCAGCTAATTTTTGTATTTTAGTAGAGATGGGGTTTGCTGTGTAGGCCAGGCTGTCTCGAACTCCTGACCTCAGTGATCCACCCGCCTCGGCCTCCGAAAGTTCTGGGATTACAGGTGTGAGCCTATGCCTGGCCTAAAGTTTGTTCTTAACATATGTTTTGCCTTTCTTTAATACAACTTTTCACTAAAAGTACACAATGTAAAACTACCTCAATTCAGACCTCTGTCACATATTACTTGAATTATTTCGTGCTTTATAATTGTTCTTCCTTCAGCCTCTATTTTGTTCTTCATTCCATCTTCCACCATACCATGTTCTTGAAACAATTCTTCTGCCTTGCTCTTTTTTCATTTGATTTGTTTTTGTTTTGAGACAGGGTCTTGCTCTGTCACCTAGGCAGGATGTGCAGTGTGGCACAATCATGGCTCACTGCAGCCTTGAACTCCTGGGCTCAAGCGATTCTCCTGCCTCAGCCTCCTCAGTAGCTGGGACCATAGATGCGTGCCACCTTACTTGGGCTAATTTTATAAATTTTACTTTGAAGACGGGATCTCGCTATGTTGACCAGGCTGGTTTTGCACTCCTAGCCTCAAGCGATCCTCCTGACTTGGCCTTCCAAAGTGTTGGGATCATAGGTGTGAGCCACTGCACCTGGTCTACTTTGTTCTTTAGTCCATCTTCCATACTGCAGTCAGAGTGATCTTTCAGAATATGTGTCTGATCATTCATTAAAGGGGTTTAATGATTATTTGTTAACCTCCTTCAAGGGTGGTTTATTAGACATCGAATTAAGCCAGGCTCCTTACTATGCACTTACAAAGCACTTCTTTCACAAGCCTCACTTTCTCACTTTAACAAGTATTTACCAAGAGCCTACTGTGTGCCAGGTACTAGTATAAATATTGAGGATAATAGTGAACAATGTGAAGTCCCTATTCTCAAGAAGCTTGCATTCTACTTGAGGGGAAGGATGAAGGACAGATAGTGAACAAACAAACAAACGTATATGCCTTGAAGTGATAAGTGCTATGAAGAAAATTGAAGCAGGGTAATATATAGAGTAGGATTGGGAAGATACTATTTGTATAGGGTGGTCATGGAAAGTCTCTGATCAAGTGACTTGAGCAGAGACATGATGGAGGTAAGAGGGAGCCATATGGAAATATGGGACTCTTTCATGTGTTTTTATAAGCTGGACTATTTTCAGTTTGTAAATACAGTAAGCATTTCTTGCCTTCACATTCAGTGTTCTTTTTGCCTGGAATGTCCTCCATACCTCAACTTTGTCTGTCAGTAGTGTTTTATCTTTCAGGTCTCAATTCACATGTGAACTTCTGCATGAAACTTTACTTATCTGGAGGTATCAAATACTTCTTGCTCTGTGATCCAGTAGGTTACTATGATTGGTGTGCCTTTGCCATATATGGCTTTGGGAATTCAATTGCTAGGATGAGAATAACATCAGTTTTCTATTGAGAAGATTAAGGGTAATGAAATATTCTTTCTCATCTTAGTTCCCCTACTTCTTTGCAGCTCCCCCATGTGTTCTAAGCTTTAAATATTTCTTAAAATTCTCTATTTGTTAAGTCTTTGGGGGAGACTTCATAGTTTAGATTCTTTATTTCTTATATCTTTTTTTGGAATCAGATCTGCCTTCTGATTTTGGGTTGGAAAAGGCTTCATGTAGCTTTGGACAACTTACTCTTCTGAACCTCAGTTTCCTTATCAATAAAATACCAGTATTGATACCTTACACTTAATCGTGAAGATTAGCTTACAAATAAAACACTTATTTTTATATGTGCTTCATGTGAAATGCCACAAGATGTGTGCAGCTTTCTTGGGAAGAAGTTGATCTGTCAGGTAAAGAGTTGATCTCAGTTCCTTAATGGTTCTTTACTAAAACTGCCTTTCATTTATGGAGGATTTCTCCTAGTGATGACTAAAGAATGAGTTGGCAGGAAAAATGGTCTGTAGGGTAAGGCTGTTTGAGTGATGCTCTTTGTCAAAGTTGGAGCCTACTCTGCTGATGCTTGGTTTATTGGCTCTCTACTCTTAATTCTCCACTACTGCCTCCCAGTTAAGTTCCAGTAATGAAGATCTGCTTTTATTTCCCAGAATATGCTATGCTGTGTCATACCTCTTTGCCGTTGTACTTTCTGTTTGTTCTGTCTGGATGTCCCTTTGTCTCTCTGTCTACTTGATAAGCTCTTACTTTGCTTTCTTTTCTTTTCTTTTCTTTTCTTTCTTTCTTGCTTTCTTGCTTTCTTGCTTTCTTTCTTTTCTTTTCTTTTCTTTCTTTGTGTGTGTGTGTGTGTGTGTGAGACAGAGTCTTGCTCTATCACCCAGGCTGGAGTGCAGTGGCACAGTCTCTGCTCACTGCAACCTCTGCCTCCCGGGTTCAAGCAATTCTCGTGCCTTACCCTCCAGGGTAGCTGGGATTACAGGCACATGCCACCACACCCAGCTAATTTTTGTGTTTTTAGTAGAGATTGGGTTTCACCATGTTGGCCAAGCTGGTTTTGAACTCCTGACCTCCGGTGTTCCACCCACCTTGGCCTCCCAAAGTGCTGGAATTACAGGCATGAGCCACCATGCCTGGCCTTAATTTTGCTTTTCAAAATCTCACCCAGGTGTTATTTTTTTTTCTCAGAAGATTTCTTTGACTTCGCCAGATAACATTAGTTTTTCTTTCCATCCTTCTACCTTGTTTGTTACTAATACCTTTGTACCTGTCACCCATTGCTGGTCATGGTGCTTGGCATATGATGGGTGCTTAGTAAATAAATCTTTGTTAGATAAATGAATTTCCTAGGTAGGCTGAAGTGCTTTCTTGAGTAGCCCAAGTACTCATTTCCCCCCGGCTTTTTTTTTTAATGCTTTGATCTATTGAAAGGCACAGTCGAAAGAATACAGTCTTTGGAATGAAGTTGTGTTGCTGATTCTCTGCTTTGTCTTTTCAAGATAAATAATCATTTTGAACCTCCTTTTTCATTTCTGTGCAGTATGAGTAATAATTCTTTTTTATATATTATGTTGCGGTTTAAATAATATGGGCATTTTCATTAGGCTTAACTAATACATAAAACATCTAGAGCAGAGTTTTACATGTAGAGCACTAAGTATGTGCTCAAAAACAGTTGTAGTTATTATTACTATATGCCTCAATTATATGAGAAATAATACATCTCTTTGGAAAAGCAGATTTTCCCTGCATTTTGTTTTCGTGAGCCAGTGGATACCTTGATCCATTGAAGAAAACTGCTGGCCCCTACATTACTTGTTCATTCAAGAAATACTACATGGCTGGGCATGGTGGCTCATGCCTGTAATCCTAGCACTTTGGGAAGGCCAAGATGGATGGATCACCTGAGGTCGTGAGTTCGAGACCAGCCTGGCCAACATGGTGAAACCTCGTCTCTACTTAAAAAAAAAAAAAAAAATTAGCCAGATGTGGTGACGGGTGCCTGTAATCCCAGCTACTCAGGAGGCTGAAGCCAGAGAATCTCTTGAACCCGAGAGGTGGAGGTTGCATTGAGCCGAGATTGTGCCACTGTACTCCAGCCTGGGCAACAGAGTAAGAGTCAAAAAAAGAAAACTAAATGCCTACTATGTGCCAAGCACTATTCTAGTTGCAGAGGATTTTGTTTTCTTTTGTTTTGTTTTTAAGAGACAGAGTCTCCCTGTGTTGCCCAGTCTGGTCTTGAGCTCTTGGCTCAAGCGATCCTCCCTCCTCAGCCTCCTAAAGCACTAGGATTACAGGAATGAGCCACCATGCCTGGCCTCTGATCCAGGTCTCTTAACTCCCAATTTGATGCTGTTTACTTATTCTGTATATTTAAAAGTTTTCTTTGGAAAAGTGTTCACTCTTTTTCTTTTTGTTTCTGTGATAGATCCTGCCTAGTTAGAAGTTTGTAGATAAGGAAGTTTGAAAAAAACAAGAGGCTCTAGGACAATTAATCATGCCTGTGGCTCTGCTCAGCATATCACTTGGGTTGTCAGCAAGAGCCACATGGACCTAGAATTGACCTGTCATCTTTGGAATGAAGTTGTGTTGCTGATTCTCTGCTTTGGCTCATTGGCTTGTTAGCCATTTGATGTAGATTATTTTGTGGGTGGGGATTTTTAATAAATTTTTCAATCTGAATCATTTGGGAAGAGCAATGTTCTAGCTTAATGTATTATTTTGAGAAGTGATGTCCTCTTTCACGTAATGTTGGTCTCTCATGCAAGTAGGGAGCTATACCAAATATAATATCTCTGCTGAACTTTGGGTCACCTTTTTAACTAATATGTATCCATATGATTTTAACTAATATGTATGCGTAAGGACTGTGTCTCCTTATTTCCTAATTACAGTTATTTTATGTCATTTGGATTCCTTTTACTTATTCCATACTTGTAAAGCATTTGTATAAACTATTTAAATTATTGTTTTTATTGATGAAAATATTTTCATTTTCTCATAAGCCTCCTGCTCATTTGTCAAATTTTTCTTTTCCTACCCATAGTTCTACTTTCTTCCAGGCAGAGCTGTGGATCAAAGAATTGTAAGTTATTTTTGGTATCATTTTTCCTTCTCAATCACTTTGTTTTTTGCCAATAAGAAGTACCTGTTTAGGCTGGGTGTGGTGGCTCACGCCTGTAATCCCAGCACTTTGGGAGGCCGAGGCGGGTGGATCATCTGAGGTCAGGAGTTCAAGACCAGCCTGGCCAACATGGTGAAACCTCATCTCTACTAAAAATACAAAAATTGGCTGGGCGTGGTGGCACGCGCCTGTAATCCCAGCTTCGTGGGAGGCTGAGGCGGGAGGATTGCTTGAACCTGGGAGTCGGAGGTTACAGTGAGCCAAGATTATGCCACTGCACTCCAGCCTGGGCAACAGAGTAAGACTCCGTCTCAAAAAAAAGAAAAAAGTACCTGTTTATACTTTTAAGTTGATGAGTTTTCAAAATTTTGTTGGAGTTGGAACATTTCTACACTTAGGTTTATTAAACCTATAACAATTGTTGAAGCTAAATTAAATTGGAAAAATAGAGTTAGCTATTATGTAGTAGGGACAATAAATGATCCTATTTTGGCATTTGTAAAACTAATTTATTGAATAATTCATATTTCCGGACTTTGCAAAATCACTGAAAGCATTTAGTCTTGTTTAAGGAACTTACTTTATTGAGTTATCCAAACCCCTTGGTCTCGGTAATTTTTTAAAAATCTATCAAAAATATAGTATTTGAATTAAACTTCAGCAATATCTTGTATTAGTTTCTCCTTTGGGGTTCAATCCCATTTTTGGATTTCCGGACTGAAGTTTTGCTTTCATTATAATCTTAAAAGCATGTTAAGAAAAGAACTATGTGTTTACAAATGTTAACAAGTCATCTGTTCACATTTAGCAATGCACTGATATTTTTAGTAATTTCAGTAAAAATAGTTCGGGTGTGGTGGCTCACATCTGTAATCCTAGCACTTTGAGAGGCCAAGGTAGGGGGGTCGCTTGAGCCCAGGAGTTTGAGACCAGCCTGGGCACCATAGTGAGACCCTATCTCTATAAAAAATAATAATAATGTCCGTAAAAAGAGTAGAGTAATTTCAGTAACATTATGTGGTTTCACTCTATGTCTTAAAATAAGGATGATAAGTTAGTGTAAGGATTTTAGACTTTCTTTGTGAGGGTTCTGTATTTAACACTCAGTGTACATCAACAATATGTTTGATACTGAGAGTGGTCTACATTTGGTCACATTCCTTTTCATTTTCTAGAACTAGTGTTTATGATTCTCGAGCACGAGAAAGATTGCGCCAGATTGAAGAACAGAAAGCATTGGCCTTACAGCTTCAAAACCAGGTAAAAAAGAAAATTGGAATAATATTGCAAATAAATAGTACATCGAAATAGAAACTATTTTGGAAAGTTACCCAGATTTGGGTAATTGCTGTTGTAATTCCAAGATCGTATGGTAGCATAGCATGTTATGTATGATATGTGGTAAATGTTCTCGGTCTGTTCAGTCAGTACTACTCATTGTACATAAGACAAATATACATAGTCCCCTACTTGTGATGGTTTGACTAATGATTTTTTGACTTTACAAAAAAGCGAAAGCAATAGGCATTTCAGCATGCTCCTTGACTTATGACAGGTTTATTGGGGCATAACCCTATCATAAGTCAAGGAACAGCCACAGATTTCTTTATCCTGCTTATTCTGAAGTTTTATCTTTCAGAGATTGCAGGAGCGGGAACATTCAGTACATGATTCAGTAGAACTGCATCTTCGTGTACCTCTTGAAAAGGAGATTCCTGTTACTGTTGCCCAAGAAACACAAAAAAAAGGTCATAAATTAACTGATAGTGAAGATGAATTTCCTGAAATTACAGAGGTAAATTACATACACTTAATTTCTACACTACCAAGTATTATGTTTAGAAAGACTCTCTCGGACGAATTTCAAACATAAAAGCAATAGTGGTCAAGCACAGTGGCTCACGCCTGTAATCCCATCACTTTGGGAGGCTGAAGTGGGAGGATCACTTGAGGTCAGGAGTTCAAGACCAGCCTGGCCAACATGGTGAAACCCCGTCTCTACCAAAAATACAAAAATCAGCTGGGCGTGGTGGCAGGCACTTGTAATCCAAGCTACACAGGAGGCTGAGACAGGAGAATTGCTTGAACCCGGGAGGCAGAGGTTGCAGTGAGCCGAGATCGTGCCGCTGCACTTTAGCCTGGGTGATAGGCCAAGACTCCATCTCAAAAAAAAAAAAAAATAAGCCATAGAACACTTGGTATTTAAGTTTTCTTGTATATTTCTGCTTTCACTTATTTTACATACCAATCTGGGGTTTATTTTTAAAATATTGAAAATTTATGAAAGAACTGTTGGTGGCTTTTAACAACTTCAGTGGAGAAACATTTAATACATTTGTCTTTCCTGTCATGTGCATTTTTACTTACTGCACACATACAATAGTTTGATCCTAAATTGTAAGCTGAGGTTTGCTCTTTTTTTAAGTAATAAAACCCATTATAGAAAATTTAGAAAATACATGGAGGTCTGTGTACATTTTTAGATAATCTGTTTCTTTATCCATACGTCTCTTTGAAACCTACCTTGTAGCTGGTGAGCATAACACACTTACTATAGTTGTACTGAATTCTGTATTTTATATTTTAAAAAAAGATCTCTAAGAAAGTAATTTCTAAAAGATACTGCCTTTACTCTCTTACTATAACCTTTCATGAAAAAATCTGTTTCTCAGGAAGTTGTTTGGACCAGAGATATAAAATATAGTTAATTTTTCTCATGGCTTAGAAAATTTGATAGCAGAAGGTTATTTCAGATTTTAGGAATTAATATGGAAACAAGGATCTGAATGTTGTGCTGAAAAAGAGAAGGGAGGACTAGATGAAGTGTAAAGAAGTAATCAGGGATTACTGGGAAGGAATAGAAACCAAAATGTTACATAGAAGTAAACTGATTAACAGTAAATTTATAAACAATCGAATGGTCATAAATATAGTCTGAGGATTTCATGGGGCTTGGTGAGAAATATGGTTTTCCTGAAGCCACGCATGTTTGATGTCTTGACACCTTTTGTTTTCTTAGGAAATGGAGAAAGAAATAAAGAATGTATTTCGTAATGGGAATCAGGATGAAGTTCTCAGTGAAGCATTTCGCCTGACCATTACCCGCAAAGATATTCAAACTCTAAACCATCTGAATTGGCTCAATGATGAGGTAATATTGCATCTATTTTTACATACAAATAACAAACATTAAGTGGCAGTTAAATTAAGGCATTATCTCACTATTTCTCAAAATGTGGTCCATGGATGACCCGCATTGAAATCACCTCTCATAGGCCTCTTCATTCTTGTAACCATGAGGGAGTGTGGTGGAGACAGGCATTTTTAACAAACATCTCAGGTGTATTTAAGAGTCTGAGAACCACTGAATTTACCTTTTCTTGTATTGAAGATTTGAACACTGAAGAAGACATTCACTCATTGGTATTCTCACTCTCTTTAAGGCTCTTGTTCTGCAGTTCATCTCTTCTGAACAAATAAGTATTAGCTGACCATTTTGCAGCATGAAGGAATACTTTGGGATTTCTTTATAGGAATCCACTTTTACTTCCCTTTCTACCTAAGTTCTACTCATTTTAGATCGCTTACAAAATGAATGATAAGCTTTCCAAAATAGCCTCCATTTATGTATGATATTTTTTAAATGGACATTGACAAAGTTATATTATTATTAAATATTTGAGGTATTGGGAAAGTTACGGTCTTCACCTCCTAACTCCAGTTTATTTTAAGTATATTAATTACACTACAATTTTTAAACTGATCTATTCCTAAACCTAAACCTGTAAGTACCTATTTTATTTTAGAAGGTTATTGTTACAGCAAAGGAAAACTGGGTTGGGTATCTTTTCCTAAGTACCTTCTTTCCGTGAGCATCCCTGCCTAATCTGGGTATACTCAAGCTTCACAGCTGCGGAGGATCTTTAGTTTCTCAGTATAGTAATCATTAAATATTTTAGATATCCATATCCTGTTTTTGCATGATCAAGACCTTCCAAATAATATTTGCTAATAACTATTGATCATTTACCTCATTAGGTACGATTCATGTTTTATGTGTTTTATTCTTGTAATAGTCATCATATCTTTGGAGGTAGATATGATAGTTTTATCATCTCCATTCTACAGATAAAGAAACAAGGCATAGAAAGATTTAAAAACTTGCAAGGTTATACAGCTAGTAAACAGCAGAGCCAAGATTAAGACCCAAGTATTGGGTCTTATCTACTATATCTTACCACCTCAGAATCTTAAATTGGATCCTGGTCTTAGGATCAGATATATAGAACTTAGGAGCCATGTATCATGTCCAGGATGCTGGTTTTCTCTGGGGCCAGCCCCATTCTTTTTGCCACTAGTTGGTTTATAAGATAAAAATTTCAGAAGCTCATCACTCCCTGAATAATATCTGTGACCAAGAATAATAAGGAAGACATGGTTTGTTACTATCTTTCTTTAGAAGAAACCCTCTTTGCTTCTTTTGGCTCAGATATTAGAACATTGGTTCAAATAATAGAAAAAAAGAGTTCACCAAATCAAAGGAGGAAATGAAAATCAAGGATAGTTACAAGTATCCACTGTTACGTTATTTTTGATCTGTGGTCTTTTGCCATTTTTTTTCCTGCCATTGCTGGTGGGGAGAGGTCAGTTATTCTAAAGGGATAGTAGGCTTTAGTTTGTTGTAAATCATGGAAAACCTCCTAGAGGGCAGCAATGAGTAGGATATGAGCTGAGCTCTTGCGATTTACTGTGGCATTTACCTCAGTGAGATCCCTTACAGAGACAGCATTCATCAGGACATATTTTCCATTCACTGGGCCCATCAGAGGCTGGAGTTTTAGCAAGCTAAGTTAATGGAAATTACATTATTTTAGAGGAGATGAGAGGAAGGAAATATTCTTTGTCTGCTTTATCCCTACCACACCTAGCCACAACTTTTGTAGAAGGAGTGCATTTCTTTTCAGTTCAGAATAATGTTATCCTTGAAAGTGAGTGCCAATTCACGTGTCCATAATAATGATGGGAGCTATCTTAAAAAGCACCATTTTCAAAGTACCATGCCTTGTAGGCTTTCAAAGTTACTGCCCTTGAGAAGCTAACATCCTGATGGAGTATTAGTAGATATCCTTAAGTATTGATACTCATTGAAGAATACAGAATTTTGGCCAGACGCAGTGGGTCATGCGTATAATCCCAGTGCTTTGGATGGCTAAGGTGAGAGGATCACCTGAGGCCAGGAGTTCAAGAGCAGCCTGGGCAACATAGCAAGACCCCATCTCCACAAAAAAATTAAAAATTAGCCAGCCATGGTGGCATGTGCCTGTAGTCCCAGTTGTTCAGGAGGCTGAAGCAGGAGGATTGCTTGAGCTAAGAAAGAAGGATTGCTTGAGTTTAGGAGTTTTAGTTTATAGTGAGCTATGATCGAGCCACTGCACTCTAGACTGGGTGACAGAGCAAGACTCTGTGTCTTAAAAAGAAAACAAAACTTAATTCTGTTTCTCAGTTGTGAACTATCAGTCTTCTTTTGCAAATGATTTGTCCTCTGTTCAATTCTCTTCTTCTCTCAAGTAGATATTTTCATTAATAATCATTTCTCTTCTTTTTCTGTTTCCTTTTTTATAAGGTGTATTAAAACTTTGTCCAAAATAAGTGACTGATATATTGTTCTTACCATTTTATAAACAAAGTACCATACTTCGTAGGCTTTCAGAGTTAAAAAGGAATATAAGAACCAGGAAGTAAAAGGAATCAGATTCAGTTTATAAGGAAATTAAAACCCAGAAATCCTATTTTTGGAATATGTATGGAAAGCCGTTAGGATACCCTGTTCCTAAAAGAAAAGTAGACCACAGTACCTATTCATACAATAGGTTTTAAAAAAATTTTCATAAATGGATTTCTCTATAGGTGAGTTTGGTTAAATTCCGTACAACTTCAAAGGACTAATGATTGACAGGATTAATATAATAAAACGTCTCAAAAATGGAATGTGGGAACTGGCTGCCATATAAAGAATACCAAAGGAGGCAAGAAGACTGTTAAAATCAAGACACTGTAGATGGGGATTTCTATACTGGGTCAGGAGATTAGTTATTAATAGAAATATCTAATTAAGGAAGGGAGGATGGAGTTAAAGCGAGGAGAAATTACGCTGGGAGCAGTGGCTCATGCCTGTAACCCCAACACTGGGAAGCTGAGGTGGGAGGATTGCTTGAGCCAGGCTGTCGAGGCTGCCGTGAGTTATGATTGTGCCCCTGCACTCCACTCCAGGGTGGGTGACAGAACAAGACTCTGAGACCCTGTCTCTTTAGAAAAACAGAGAAAGGAAAAATAAGTTGCAAAAGTAGAAGTAGATTGAAACAGTCAAGAAACAGAAGGAAATATTTTCAAATGGGTGTCATTATTAGAAACTGTGCATTAATTCCTGGAGATTGAATTGGATGACTTCTGGAATCCCTTCCAACTTTAAGATTCTAGGTTTATTGTCCTGAGTACTGCTTTAGGCTTTGTGTTTCTCTTTATGGCCAAATGGTTCTCCTTTGAGGGACTAAGGATTGTTTTAAAAGGCATCAGATAAATTTAGAAATACATGGATATAATTTAGGTATACAAGTAAATAAAACTGACTTTTGCTTCTGGTCATGATAAAGGAAACAAGATTTACCCTTTCAGCTTAACTAGAAAATTAGACAAAACATGAAGCAACAATTTTCAGACATTGGGTAACAGGTAGTACCAGGCAGTGATCCCTGAGGGAAGGGAAATAAAAGGGATGCATGCTATAATATCCCCAGCTTTCTAGGGTGGGGTGTGTGTGTTGTGAAGGAGGGACTGGTAGAGCCTGTGCAGGGGGGCTTCCCTCCAGTCTTTGGCTGAGTACCAATTTGTGCATGTATGAGAAGAAGCTACTGGAGGCTGGGGAAAGAACCACCAGAAAGAAGGGATCAGCACAGTTTTAGAGCCGGCACAGGTGTCAGTAGTTTATGTTCCAACCAGTTAGAGTAGAAAAACCTCCTAAGTCACAGGGCATTGAATAGAATCCTCAGAGGGGTATTGCCTCAGAAATAGGGCTAAACTGACCCTAGAATAAAACTGACCCTAGAGGATCACCTGAGGCCAGAATAAAGGCTGCTCTGGACCCACCATCACAAAGCCTAAAAACAAGCCTCAAAAGCCTGAAACCGATCCAGATAACCTATATCCCAGAGAAAAGCCTAACAATATTTAAAGGAATACAACAAATTCCAGCAACAACAAGGCCCAACATAAAATTTGCAATATCCAGCATCCAACTAGAAATGACCAGAAATACACGAGGAAGGAAGGTACAATTTATGATGAGGGAGAAAAGAAACACCCAGAAATGACCAAAATAATAGAATTAGCAGACAAGGATATTTAAAAAGTTACTATAAATATCTTCCACATATTCAAGAAGTTAGAAGAAAATGGACATCATGAGGAGAGAAATGGAAGATATTTTTAAACAAGACCGACATTGAATTTCTAGAAATGAAAAGTATATCTGAAATAAAAATACATAAGGTAGTATTAATAGTAGATTAGACACTTCATAAGAAAAAAATTCGTAAACTTGAATAGCAGTAGAAACTGGAATATGAGACACACAATAAAAGTCAAAGAAAGATGTCAAGAGCATCAGTGAGCTGTGGGATTATACCAGACAGGTTAAGCATGTAATTGGAGTCCCAGAAGGAAAGGTGGGGGCATAGGTGGTGTTAGAAATTTATTTAAAGAAATAATGATGGAAGATTTTTCAAATTTGAAAACTGAACTGACAAGTTTGAGAAGTTCTCTATACCCCAAGTAGAAGAAACATCATGCTAAAATACATAGTAATCAAGTTGCTGAAAACTGGTGATAAAAATACTAAGTGCAACCAGAAGGAAAAAGGCACATTAAGTACAGAAGAACAAAGATAGGTATAACTGTCAGAAATAATGTAGGCCAGAAGACAATGTAGCTACATCTTTAAAGTACTGCAGAAGAAACAAATTTGTCAGTAGAAATTCTATACCCAGCAAATATATCTTTCAAAAAATAAGGCTGTACTTTTCCAGACAAACAAATGCTGATAGAGTTCATCACCAGCAGACCTGTACCAGAAGAAATATTATGTGTTCTTCAGGC